AATGGGGCAGGCAGCTTGCCACCTGCTGCCTCCCCACTGTGCCTGCCCTCGCTGCAGCCTCGGGCTGCCCCTGGCTCCGCTCCCCGTGCTGCTCCCGCCCCTGTGGTCTCGGGCCCTTGTCCGCCTTCCTCGCCTGCCCTGCCGCCTCCTCCTCCTCCCCGCCCCCCTTTGCTTCCTGCTGGCAGGCTCGGTTCCTGTTGCAGCAGGAGTGTGGGCGCAGTGCTGCTAGGGGCTGGGCTGGGCACATGCTCCGTGCCCCAGGCTGCAGCAAGGAGGGAGCCCAGCAGAGGAAAGGGGCAGTGCGGGGCAGGGAGAGGTGACGTGGGGGGGCAGGACTAGGGGCTGCAGGGTAGGAGTGGCTGGGTGTGCAGAGGCAGCTCTGGCTCCCGTCCTGACCCCTGCAGCCTTATGCTCGGCTGTAGGGTGAGGGGCTTTTTTCCTCATGTTAAATGGGGGGTGGGGGGAGAAACGTTGCCTTCTAATAGAGTCAGTACAGCCGGTGGCACCTACGTTGTTGCAAGTGTTGTGACACCTTCTGTTGCGTTGCGCGCTTCAGCACGTGGATGCTGTGGACTCTGGCCTGATGCCTCCTCCTTTACAGACCATTTTGTAGGAAGGCTCTGTGCCGAACTCCCTTCTGTGGCCTCCAGTCTGGCATCTGGTGCCTCACGTTTAGGTATTATTGCACTGTCCGGGCTTGTTTGTGGTTGTAGCCTTTAACAAGCATGACATGCTCTGTTTTTCTAAAGATGCCCAGTTATTTCCTAAGAATCTTATACCAAAATCTGTGACTATGGTAGAATTTTTAATTGTTTTTTTTCTTTTTCATTTAAAGGAAAATACCTCTTTAAAGGTTATTCTCTGTGTTTGTTAATGCTCAACCTGGTTTACTCTAATAATCTTCCTCCTTTTTCTTGGCAATTCTTATCTCTTGTATGTTTATAATGAAATGGTCTCTTCATTATTATACTGAATTCATTAGGTGTGGTCTGCAGAAGACAGTCATGTGATGAGGTCTCCATGACTACTTATTTACAGTGATAATTATT